GGCTTGGGTTTAGTACTTGGGATGTGCCCCAAGGGGTACTCAAGTGTTTTAGAGGGAGAGGTTATGGGCAAAATGGGCTAGACCCATTGGACCCAAAAATCACCACGCGCGCCGCCGTCCGTCCGGCCGGTCGGCCGGGCTGGGCTGGGCTTTGGCGCGGGTGTGTGGTTGGGCTTGGGTGCGGCTTCAATTGCAATCTAACAGATTCAAATTTGTTTGAATTCAAAACCTACAGCCACTATTACATCATGGCTTCAATTGTAATCCAACATATTCAAATATGTTTGAATTCAAAACCTACAGCCACTATTACATCATGGCTTCAATTGTAATCCAACATATTCAAATATGTTTGAATTCAAAACCTACAGCCACTATTACATCATGGCTTCAATTGTAATCCAACATATTCAAATATGTTTGAATTCAAAACCTACAGCCACTATTACATCTATAAATAGACTAGCATTAAACTCTAATTCTGCAAACATCCTCTTCATTTTGTTGCATTATTTTCTTGTCAGAGAGAGTATAAACACTTGGTGTGTTTGTTAGGCAAACAATTTGTAGTGATGCTATTGTTTGTAGTAGATCATTTTATCCTGGGAGATAGACGTCCAAATTCTGAAAGCACCGTGGAGAGGACGAATCTGTCTTAAGGACATAGTGTCAAACACTGGACTTGATCAGATAATTATTTAAAAAAAAATAACAAACCGATGAGAAAAAATTAGCAACAAAATCTCCAAAAATGGCGAATCAGTCATCCTCCTCTTCCTATCCAATCCTCTGTGCCTCCTTCAATCAGGATAACAGGTAATTTATATACGTTGATTTTCCGAATTAGGGTTTGATTTTTAGTTGTGTGAATTTGAAATTTAGTTTGATTTAGGAATTGATTTTATTCCGAATTTTCTCAGTTGCTTTGTGTTAGTGATAATTACAAATAACACACCAGAAAATACAAGTAATAAAAGTTACAATGACTACTATAAGGGCTGAGGCGCGGGAAACTCGCTCTCTTTAAAGAGATTCAAGCTCTCTGCGGTTAGGCAAAGCCTCACACCAGTGCAGCAGAAAAAAAAACCTTGACTTGTCCCCCCAGGATACAACAGCCTGACTAAGTCGTATGGTTAACCAATACTGCACGATTGGTTGAACCCAAAGCTTTATCACACACACCCTTTTTATTTGCCTGATAATCTCACATTAGACATAACAAAAGCAACCCAAAACTTCTTCTCTCTTATGTGTCTCTAAAGATAGGACATAAGTTAATATATATATAGAAATCAAAATTAGTTAAACAAGTTCTTGGTGGGGAAGAAACGGATGAAGACAAGGAAAGGATAAGTCTTGGTGGACTTGACCAAGACTTGGATAAGATAAGATTGATGGATAAGTTATGGAGACTAAGACCAAGACCTTGGATGACTTGGAAGGCTTAACAAGGAAGAAAGAAAACAAAACCAACCTACAACACATTATAATATTAAAATACCTGCTAACAATTAGCAACACCATTTTGCTCGAAAAACTCAGCCACGTATTGTCAGACAAAACTCTCGTATGGTTCTTTTGGGTGAGGCTAGAAAGCATGTGGCATTCCAAGAGACAACACGGCAAGTCTACAGAGAACGATCCCATAATGCAAGAGATCATGACAATTCTGAGCTTTGATGGAAATGATCAACCATGGGCAGTGATTAGCCGAGGCACAGCTGAGATGACTGAAGCCAAGGGTGACACCATGTTGCAAAGCTTAGCCAAGTTTGAAGAATGGAAGGATCATGCTAAAGAGGTTGGTTTTGTGAATGCACTCATTGATAAGCTTTATGAGCTTCACACCCCAGAACATTGCAACCATATGATTTTGTCTGGCACCACTGAGAACATCCTCGAGAGGGTTGTCTGTGTTGAATGTGGCCGCCCTATGGAGAAGTTCATCATGTATCGATGCTGCAATTAATGACTTGAGCTAGGAGTATTAAGCAAGCTCGTTATATATCCTTTAATTTGAAGAGGCGGTTACTATCTACCAGTACTAGTACTATTACTACCCTTTCCTACAATGTATTTTTTTCCTGTACTTCATACTGTGTTGTCAAGGATGTGATATTATCAATAAATTAAATGATAATATTTGTGTTTTTGTGTTCCATTTCTGTTGCTGTTGATCTATATTTGGTGACAGTTACCAACAAAACATGGTGTTCAAGCTAGTTCATGGGACGAATCCAAACTTTAGCTAATGCGTTCTCATAGACTCTTTTCTAACCAAAAAGGAAAAGGAAAAAAAATGCTCTTTTATATTTAAATAATACAGTATTTGTTAACTTTTGGTATTTTATTTTTATGTAAAATTCAAATTTCTATTTTATAAATAAAATTTTGTAGTTTATCTACAACTTTTTACTAATGGGTTGGCACCATTAGTTAAGATTATTATTATTTTTTTTTGGTCTCATTTGGGAATATGATATTTTAGTAATTTTTTAACTATTGAGTTAAAATATGAGGTAAAAACTAATATGTTTGGAATGAATTTTTTACTTTTTACGAAAAATAGAGAGAATAATTTTTTTTTTAATTTTTTGTATAATTTATTAATTTTTTGACATTTTTAATGACTTTTTATCTTCCCAAATAAGGCCTAAGTTGGGTCTTTCTAGGATGAACTTTTTCTCTGTGGTTCTTTGGACAAGAGGAGAGGACAGTTGTAATTGGGGGAGGAGGAGAAGGAGTGGTTGTGGTTGACAATAGTTGGTGGTTGTGGAAGTATTGGGAAATTCTAACATTTGTGGGGGGTTAATTATATTTTTTACTCTTACATTTTTACCGATTTATTCATTTTCAATTATGACGGTTAACTTCTTATATTTTAAGTTAGTTTGTAATCTCACCCTTCCTACATCTATCATTTATAAGATTGATGAAATTTAAAACTAAGTAAAAATGAAATTTTAGTGAAAATGTAAAAACTAAAATAATATTTTGATGAAAGTGTAAAATGCTAATAAGATGGAAAAAAAGAGTCACATTTAACTCATATGACAAATTCCAATAGATTGACACAAGGATAACACATTGAATATTGACTCAAAATATAGGACGTTGTCTGTGACAATTAAAAATGAAGAAACGAAAGTGATATTTCAATGAAATTATAAGGACACAAAATATAATTAATCTTTTTTTATTATCCTAATTGATTTTTACGTCATTTGGTTTGAAAATTGGGTTGAATCTTTGGTCTTAAATAGCAATGTTTTTATAAATATTTTTAGTTATTTAAGGTAATTTTATAAAGGGAGAATATTAAAAAAGTAGAGAGTAAAAAAAATAATTACAAAATATGAAAGTGATTTATAAATTCCATTATGGAAAGAAATCTTGTACCTTCATTAATTTGAAGAGGAAAAAGAAAAAGAAAAAAAGAGAGTAAATTGGTGATAAATCCAAGCTAAGAGTAAATTAGGTATAAGGTATTAGGTCTAGTAGATATTTTTTTATTACTGAGAGATCCACTATTTGTGAAATAATTTGGTGAGAAGTTCTTTCGTTGGTTTTAGAAGATATTTTGTTTCCAATTTTACGCATTAATTTATCTATTAACTTTTTGTTGACTATGTGTTCAATTTTTTTTTCTATCTGTTGAAATTTATATCTATTTGTTTAAAAAAAATTTTTATATTTGTTCAAAATTTTTGACTAATTTTTTTTATATGTTCAAATTTATATCTATCTGTTCAAATTTTTTGACTATTTGTTCAATCTTTTCTCTTTGTCTGTTTAAAAGTTTACTATCTGTTGAAATTTACCATTTGATCTGTTGAATTTTTTCATCTCTATTTTCTCTCTCTATTTATTGAAATTCTCATTTTAACTTATCTATCTGTTGAAATTTCTTATCTGTTCAAATATATGCCCAAATTTTATTATTTGTTCAATTTTTTTACTTACCTGTTCAAACTTTACACATTAATTTGTCTCAGTATGCCCGGCTACCCCTTTCGCCGCTGCTGCTGCCTGGTTCATCACCGATTATGCTGTTCCGAAGTTGTAAACCCAGTAAAACAACCACTCATGATTATATATATATATATATATATATATCACAACACTACAACAAATTACATTTTTGGTGACCAAATTTGGCGATTAAAAAAAATTTAGTCACCAAAAGTTGTGGAATTGGCAATCAAAAATTATATTAGTCGGCAAAAGTATAATTTTAGCTACTAATTTTTTTAGTCAGGGTATATTGATTATTGGTGACTAAAAAAAAATTAGTCTCTGTATAGATAGTTTTTGCTACTAAAATTATTTTAGTCGCCGAATGAAAAACAAAAATTTAATTTTTATCTTTGGCGACCAAAAGTTTGGTTGCAAAAAATTTATTATTTTTTAGTCGTTGTATAGTTAGTTTTGGCTACTAAAATTATTTAGTCATCGAATGAAGAACAAAAATTTACTGTTTATCTTTGGTGACCAAAAGTTTGGTCGCCAAATATTTATTTTCACGACTAAAAAATATTTTAGTTGTTGTATAGTTAGTTTTGGCTACTAAAATTATTCATTTTTTCCGACCAAAAAAAATTAGTCGCCAAATTAATACTTTTTAATTTGGCGACTAATATTTTAGTCGTCGTTGATTGAGATTTGGCTACCAAAAAATTTAGTTGTTATATATTAAGATTTTGCGACAAAAAACAAATTTAGTTGCCAAAAGTGACATTTTTTTAGTGGGAAGTCACTTAATATTGGCTCCTGCCCTTGTTCTCTATTTGCACACAACAATTTGTTCAGACTTCTCACGTACAGATTCTCCTTCACCACCAAACCTCACTCCACCTTACCTCACTGCAGACCACCACCACCGGAGCAGATCGCCATGGCTACTGCCACTACCACTACCACCGCCACAGATCGCCACAGCCGTTGATGATCCTCCTCAGTCTTCTATTGGTGCCTCTCTCTCTCTCTTTCTCTCTCTTTCTCCTAAACACCCACCGCCATCGATGATCCTCCTCCTTCTCTTTTGCTGGTGCCTCAGCCGAATTCGAGAAGATCGTCAAGATTTGAATTAGATTTGAGTCCTAGGGCAAGATCTGACCGTCGTGAGTGATCGACACATATCCGTCGCCGGCGGTGAAGAGTGAGAACGGTTAAGATCTGAATCAAATTCGATTTCGCAATCTAAAAATCTCTTGAGCACTCAAATCTTTGTGATTCTTGCTCTAATCAACACCTCTCTCTAAGATCTGAGTCAGATTCGATGGTGGCGAAGAAGGCTGGGATGCGGTGAGAAATGAAACCATTGTAAGAAACATAGCATTTCGTTTTTCCTTAAAATTGCCAAACCCCTATTTTTATCTAATTCTCATTCCTCCTCTAATTTTTCTCAAATCTGATTTTGTAATTTGCTTTTTTAGTTGATAAAACCACAATTTTGACAAAGAAGAACAAGTTAGTCTTCCTATTCTTTGTTTTCTTTTTTTTTTCCCCTACTCTGTTTATGTCAAAATGCCCAATGCTCGATTGTTTAGTTTAACATTATAAATCTTTGGTAAAAAAATCCATAGGTGTTCAATCAATCATCAGCGGGAAAAAGGGGCTTCATTTGAGTTGGGTTTATCATATCATCATCATCATCATCATCTTCTGCATCTAAAAAGAGAGAAAAATGAAGTATGTGTTATTGACAGGCGGCGTAGTTAGCGGTCTTGGTAAAGGGGTGACTGTCAGTAGCATTGGTGTCATTCTCAAGGCTTGTGGGCTTCGTGTTACTTCTATTAAGATTGTTCAGTTTAGTCTTTTTACTACTTGAATGTGGCATTTTTGAAAAAAAAATTAGCTCTTTTACACTATTGTTACTTTGAGTTATGTACAGTAATCTGGGTTTTCTTTTTGTTTGTAATGTCTTTGAAAGAAGCCTACTTTTGTTTCAACTACCCTTGTGAAATGTTCACACACTACAAAAATTTAATATTTTAAAGACCAAAATTTATGGACAATTATTTTTTAGGGACCAAATATTTTTGTTGCCAAAAGTGTCGTCATCATATTTTTAGTAACGAAAATTGGACATTAGTGATAAATTATTATTATTTTGGGACCAAATTTTTTGTCTCAAAAAATAAACCATTTTGAGACCAAATTATTTTGTTCCTAAAAGTCTATTTATTAGTGACATTTTCAAAATTTTGTCACTAAAAGCCTTGTTTTTGACTTTTCGGGATGACTTTTTAGTGACTATCCTTACGACAATAGAAATTGGTCCCTAAATGTCTTTTGCAACAAAATTTTCACTTTTAAATACTAAAAAAATTGGTCTCTACAACTCTTATATGTTGTAGTGACAATGTTCTGTCATGTTACTAGTGCTTTCATTTTTGTTAAATTACAAAACCCAATTTTAGAAAACAACAAGTAGTTATTACTTACTCACAATATGCTCTTTCATTCAAATCCTTACTTGAACATTGATGTGGGAACTGTTGGAAATGATGGTTTTTATAGGCTTATTTTGAGCCAACTTTAAGCCCAAATTTGAGTAGGTTCTAAACATGTTTTGGGATAGGTCTGAAAAGGTGACGTGTTCCTTGCTGCATGGCAAGTCACACGGTGAAGACGGTTCGTCAAAACTATTTATGAGTGAATGACAAGTTGACGTCGTTTTCGGGTTTGTGGAATAGAAAATTGAAGAAGTAAAATGTGGATTTCCTTGAAGTGGTTATCCCACATTGGAAACTTAAGAGAACTTATATATGTATATAAGTTCTAGGTGGCAACACTTAGGTTGGGTCCCAAGGGGCACCCCAAGTTTGTAAAAGGGAGGAGTTATGGAAAAAAGTGAACCTTGGCTCAAATCGCCGCTGTTCGTCCGTCCGACCGACTGACTGAGCCATGCCTAGGTCGGTTCTAATATTAATTTTTGTACAAAATTTATTTTGAATTTTTTCAAAAATTCTTGCAAGAAAATTAATTTTTCTAAGTGAAATTAATTCAAATTTTGTGTCAAATTTGAATTCAAATTTTATGTCAAATTTGAATTCAAATTTTACTGTCCAAATGTGTGCCTTCTCCAGCCCGAAATTTCTAACAAATTAACTATTTGAAACTACTCAAAACTGCAGCAGTTATCTGTTTAAAACAGTTTGTATTTGTTCAATTCAAAAACGCACCTGTTCAATTCAAATAACAGATCTGTTCAGTTCTTTTTGCACCTGTTCGGACAGATCTGAAAGTCACCAATCTGCCTATAAATACTACAACATTCCAGCAGATTTTGGATCTAAAATTTTCATTGTGTCTTCCCGATTTTGCTCTCTCTTTGCATTATTCTTCATTGTAGTTTTTTAAACAAATATTTGGGAGAATAGAACACAGGTTTGGTTCACTGTACAAATTGTTTGGAGTGCTACTACAATTTATGAAGATCATTGTATCCTGAGAGATAGGCGCCATTTATCCGTAAACACCGTAGCGGGGCGAATATATCTTAAGGACAAAGTGTCTCACACTCAACTTGATCTAAAAGTTGTATCGGTAATAAATTCTGTAAGTAATTTATTTATTTTTGTTTGATTAGTTTCAAGTTATTTATTTTACATAGAAGATTGTTCCAACAATCTTAAGACAGATTCGAATTATTCTGTTTATAGAATTTTTTGTTTGTTTCCTTTTCTTCTTCTTACAGAAATTATTTTATGTGGTTTTACAAAATAATATTCTGGTTGAAAAAACAAATAATAGTAATATATTGTTTGGCAAATAGTAGTAATATGCTGTTTATTTTCTTTGACAACTAGTAGTAATCTCTGGTGTCATTAACAATTCAGAATATTTATTTGTAAAGTTGGTCAGAAATTAATTTTGGTTTTCAAATAATTTCTGAGTGTTCATTAATTAAAATTCTATTTTCAGTATTTTAATTTTTAAAATGTTACAGAAATGTGGAATTAATTTGTTTAAATAAAATTTTATTTTATTTTCAAATTAATTCGAAATAAAAGTTACAATTCTTGTTTATTTTATTTTTTCAGAATTTAATTATGCGGTCTTGGTGGGGCTGCAATTGCTCCAACCCATCCTCCTGTTGTGACTGTGTTAGTCAATCACGGTGAGAAACTAGAGAAGTTCTCAGGAACTAATTTTAAAAGATGGTAGCAGAAAATGATGTTCTATCTTGCTACTCTTAACTTGGCACGTTTTCTCCATAATGACGCTCCTACTCTGAAAGAGGATGAAACTGATTAGCAAGTGGATGCTGCAGTCGATGCCTAGAAATATACTGATTTCCTTTGCCAGAACTACATCTTGAATAGACTTGACAACACATTATATAATGTTTACAGTCCTATCAAAACGGCAAAGGAACTTTGTGAGTCTCTGAAGAAAAGGTATAAAACAGAAGATGCTGGCTCAAAGAAATTTGTGGTTGGCAAATTCTTGAATTTTGTGATGGTTGATTCAAAGACTGTGATCAGCCAAGTTCAAGATTTCTAACTCATTCTGCATGAGTGAATTCTTTCATGTTGCTGCCTTAATTGAAAAATTACCATAAGGTTAGAAGGAATTTAAGAACTACCTCAAACACAAGCGCAAAAAAATGAATTTAGAGGAATTGATTGTGCGTTTGAGGATTGAGGAAGACAACTGCAATTTTGAGAAGCGGGCTGGTAAGCATCTCATGGAGTCTAAGGCAAATGTGGTGGAACATGCTCAAAAAGTAAAGAAACGAAAGTTTTCTGGAGAAAGTTCCAACAAGGCTCTAAAGGAGGGGAAACTAAAAAGTACAAGTTCAATGACAGATGTTACATTTGTGACAAAGAGGGACGTCGGGCCAAAGATTGCCGTAGCAAGTGCAAAGGCAAAGAAAGATCAAGCAAGAAGCCTGCTTAAGCTAATATGACCGAAGTGGATAAAATTTCCAATGGTGTAGATGACATAAATCTTTCTGTAGTTGTTTTCGAGATAAACCTTGTTAGAAATCCTAAAGAATGGTGGGTGGACACTGGTGCTACTTGTCACATTTGTGCCAACAAAAAGATGTTCACATCTTATTCTATAGTGGACAACAGTGAACAACTTTTCATGGGCAACTCCTCCACTTCTAAAGTTGAAAGACAAGGAAAGATTATTCTGAGAATGGAATTTAGAAAGGAACTCACTCTCAACAATGTGCTGCATGTACCAGACATTCGCAAGAATCTAGTTTCCAGATCTCTGTTAAGTAAAAATGGATTTAGGCTAGTGTTTGAGAGTGATAAATTTGTACTTACTAAGAATGGGATGTATGTAGGAAAATGTTACATGCCCGATGGCCTTTTCAAAATGAATGTAATGACCGTTGTATACTCAGCTATTAATAAAAATTCATTTTCTTCTTACTTGCTTGAGTCTTCAAATTTATGGCACGGTGGACTAGGACATGTTAATTATGGATCTTTGCGTAGATTAATTAATATGGAATGTTTACCTAAATTTGACATTGATTTAAATCATAAATGTGAAATTTGCTTTGAGGCAAAATTAACTAAAACTCATTTTCATTTAATTGAACGAAGTACGGAGCCACTTGAATTAATTCATAGTAACATTTATGATTTTAAATCAATTCAAACTAGAGGTGGGAAAAAATGTTTTATCACTTTCATAGATAATTATACTAGATATAGTTTTGTTTATTTAATTTGAACCAATGATGAAGCTTTGGAAACTTTCATTCAATACAAGAGTGAAGTTGAAAATCAACTTGGTAAGAAAATTAAAAAACTTAGAAGTGATAGAGGTGGTGAATATAAATCACCTTTTGGTGAGTTTTGTAAAGAACATGGAATAATTCATCAAACCACCGCTCCTTACTCACTTTAGCAAAATGGAATTGCTGAAAGGAAAAATAGGACTTTAAAAAAAATGGTGAATGTTATGTTAATAAGTTCTGGATTACCTCAGAACTTGTAGGGGGAAGCAATACTTTCTGCTAATTATATACTTAATAAAGTATCCCGAAAGAAAGTGAATCAAATACCTTATGAAATGTGGCATGAGAGAGTACCATCTTACAAATACTCAAAAGTGTGTGGGTGTTTGGCTAAAGTGGCTATTCCTAGTCCTAAAAAGACTAAGATAGGTCCTAAAACCTATGATTGCATTTTCATTGGTTATGCCAAGAATAATAGTGCATATCGATTTTTGATTCATAAGTCAAAACATTCCGAAATGCATGTAAATACTATTATTGAATCTTAGAATGCATCTTTCTTTGAACATATGTTTCCAAATAAAACTAGACAAGAGACTAGTACTAACAAAAGATCTCATGATGCTATTACTAGTCAGGATCAAGAACAAGTGCATGAGATAGATCAAAATGAGGAAGAAAAACCTAGGCATAGTAAACGTGCTAGAACCTCAAAATCTTTTGGTCCAAATTTTCTAACATTTTTGGTAGAAAATGAGCTTTTAACTTTTAAAGAGGCTATGTCCAGTCCTGAAGCTCCTTTATGAAAAAAGGCTATAAATAGCGAAGTTGAATCCATCCTGCAAAATCACACTTGGGAATTGGTGGATTTACCACCAGGGTGTAAACCCCTTGGATATAAGTGGATTTTCAAAAGAAAAATGAAAGCGGATGGATTAATTGACAAATACAAGGCAAGACTTGTTGTAAAAGGTTTTAGACAAAAAGAAGGTCTTAATTACTTTGACATATACTCACCGGTTACTAGAATAACATTCATTAGAATGCTAATTGTTATAGAAATTCATCAAATGAATGTGAAAACCGCTTTCTTAAATGGTAAGTTAAATGAATAAATCTACATGGAACAACCAGAAGGATTTTGTTCCAGGAAAAGAAAAGAAAGTGTGTAAATTGATTAAATCATTATATGGTTTAAAACAAGCGTCAAAGCAATGGCATGAGAAATTTGACAAAACAATGATGTCAAATGGATTCAAAATTAATGAATGTGATAAATGTGTTTATATTAAAAACATAAACAAAGGCTATGTTATAGTATGTCTTTATGTGAATGATATGCTCATCATAGGTAATAAAAATGACATGATTAAAA